ATGTTTACAGCTGTTTCTGTCAGTTTGTTGTACTGTGATGGCTTGTGAGTTGCTGTGATTCTGAAAGCTATGCTACTGGTATTTTAAATACTAGCAGGGTCACCCATGGTGGACAGGTTTCAGATGAGCTTCCAGACAAAGACAGACTAGGAAGAAGGAGTGACGAACTACTTCTGAATATTTTGTCACGGAAAACCTTATGAATAGCCGAGAAACAGAATCACGAGTAAAGTAAAATGCCACCCCTTTTGTTTTTTGACAGTTTGAGAGATAAGAAATTATATATTTTATAATTTTTGTCTTTTATAAGTAAGGTTGTATATGTTTCCATATTTTAATGAGTCATTTGCCCTTTTAAAATCAGTTTACTGTCTCCATATTTTTGTCCATTTTTCTTTCGGACTTTGGAGCTATTTTTATTTTAGGGATATTAACTTTTGTTTACTTGGATATAATTAGCATATATTTTTCTCAGTTTGTGCTGGACTTTGGTTTTTCTTATGGTGTTTTTTGGTCATGCATCTTTTTCGTGTAGCTAAGTTCACCAATGTTTAATTGCTTTTGAAATTGGATATATATTTATATAGTTTTTCAATTCCAAAATTAAAGAGGAATCCATCTATTTTTTTCAAGTTTTATTTAATTTGTTCTTGCTGTTGAAAATATATACACAGCAAAACAGTACACCTAATTCAACAATTTAAATTATACAATTCAATATCTCCAAGAAAAGTTGGAGCAATAATAGAGGAATTTAGTAAACTTGCAGGGTACAAAGTCAATAAACAAAAATCATTTGGGTTTATATGCACAGCATTGCGGAATCTAAAAGGTAAATAAGGGAAACAATTCCACTCATAATACCATCTGAGAGAATAAAGTACCTAGGAATAAATTTAACCAGGGATGTGAATCCATCCATTTTAAATACAAGTATGGTTTCAGTTACATTTAGGTCTTGGATGCATTTTAAAATTATTCTAGTCCATGCTGTGTGATATGAGGGACTATATCCAGTTTGCTCTTTCTCCCTTTCCTCTCCAGCCCCATCTGTCTGTCTGTCTCTCTTACATATGTCTCTCCAGTTGTCTCAACACTGACATTGATCTCCCCTTACTGATTTGAGATGCTGCTTCAGTATGTACTAAATTTCCACATACACTTGAGTCAGTTTCTGCCCTTTCTGTTCTGCTCATTTGTCTGTCTGCTTTATGTGCCAGGGCGCTCTTGTAGCTGTGTTGTTGCTGTTGATAAGTGCTGTCAGGTCAGTTGAAGTCAAGTCAGGTTATTCATTAGCCCTCCATATATTCTGTTGTGGTTAAATAACCTACACAGTACATGTGGGTTAAACCTGTAGCCACGAAGTCAATTCTGACTCCTAGCAACCCTCTAGGACAGGTAGAATGGCCCCATGGAGATTGCCCATCATTCTTCCTCATGTCGGGCGAAGCCAACCGAAGTTCCGTTTTTTTTTTTTTTTAAAGAATGATCCTAACTATTCTTGTTGCTACAAATTGAGTTTTTTAAAGCAAGGAGTATTATTATTATCTAGTACTTTCTTATTTTAAGAAATGATACTTTTTTTCCAGGTGCTGTTTTAGCTACTGGAACTGTAATGGTATCTAGACTCTCTCAGCACTAATGCTCCAAGATGATTTTGTCGTAGTTGAGTGCCATCGAGTCAGCTCCAACTCACAGCAACCCTGTATAGGGTTTTTGAGTAGCAGCTGGTGGGTTTGAACCGTCAACCCTAAGGTTAGCAGTCCAGCAGTCTTATCCTATGTTGCCTTACCAGGACTGATTTTGTTGTTGCTATTAAGTGCCATTGAGTTGGTTCCAACTCACAGTGACCCTGTGGAGGGTTGTTCCAACTCACAGCGATCCTATGGAGGGTTCCCAAGGACCATCTGGTGTGTGGATATTAGACATTAATAAATGCTAGAAGTCCTGGTGTGGTGCTGTAGGATAAGCCATGGACTACACAGGTGATTTGAACCACAAGGTTGGCAGTTCAAGCTCACCAGCTGCACCTTGGAACCCCTATGTAGGGTCTCAATGAGTTAGGACTGACTCAATAGCTCTAACAACAACAACAAATACTAGGAAAACAAAGGAGAAGGAAATGATAGATGAGAGAGACCTCTCTGGTAAGTTGGTCTTTGAGCCAATTCCTGAATCACAGTAAGGGAAGCCCTTCAAAGGTCTGGGGCAGAACTGTCCAGGCCAAGGCGATCTTTAATGGAGAGAGACATTGGAACCAACAGCTGCCGATGCTGATCACATGCTCACTGGGAGCCCGCCACAGTGCTAAATGCCTTCACCTGCTTATCCCTGGTGTTTCTTGTGACAACCCTTTGAAACAGGTCTCCCTTATTGGTCACATTTTGACAATGTTGTTGAGAGATGTTGCTTGACAGTGAGGTTGAGAGAGGTTAGGTCAGTGGCCTCTTCTCATGCTCTGATTCAGCTTTAGGCACCCAAGCACCAGCAGTGACCCCTCAATTTGTATCTTTCCAGGCTTTCATGAGAAGGACAAGAAGCCATATTGCCGAAAGGATTTCTTAGCCTTGTTCTCACCCAAGTGTGGTGGCTGCAACCGTCCAGTGTTGGAAAACTACCTGTCAGCCATGGACACTGTCTGGCACCCAGAGTGCTTTGTGTGTGGGGTCTGTATACTTCCTTATCTTTGGGAGTTCAGGAAAGTGGCTGTCCTCTCTGAGAGGCAGAGCTACCAATAGTAAAGGGTTCTGGCTGAAGAATGGACGTGGGTTTCCTAAGGAGAAACAAAACATATCATCTGTCTGCTTTGCAAGTGGGTTCTCCTCTAGACCCCACCTGCCAAGGAACCCAAGGGAAATCCCAGTGAGTGGCAGGGATTGGCAGCAATTTCCAGACCCAGAGTTTTCCTTTGCCCCAGAAAGTTTTCCTTCTTGACGTTTGCTTTCTTCTTTCCCCGTGTCTTCTTCTCACCCCCAGGACTGCTTCAGCAGTTTTTCTACTGGTTCCTTCTTCGAACTGGATGGACGTCCATTCTGTGAGCTTCATTACCATCACCGCCGAGGAACCCTCTGCCACGGGTGTGGGCAGCCCATCACTGGACGCTGCGTCAGCGCCATGGGGCACAAGTTCCATCCTGAGCACTTCGTGTGTGCTTTCTGCCTGACCCAGTTGTCAAAAGGCGTCTTCAAGGAGCAGAATGACAAGACCTATTGCCAGTCATGCTTCAATAAGCTCTTCGCGCTGTAATCTTGCCTGAGCCCACAGCTTCTTCGTCTCCTTTAGAAAGTCTAAACCAAGAAGTGAATGAGTACAATTGCTGTTACTAACTTCCTGCTTTGTATGTTTATAGAGGAAATAAAGGTGATGAGCAAAGAGGAACTTACAGACCTTACGTGACTAGCCTTGGGGACTCTCAGCACTGCCCTCCATGCTAGCGGCCTGTGTTGTTGTGTGAAGTGCCATCAAGCCAATTCTGACTCATCATGACCCTGTAAAGGGTTTCTAGGAGCAGCTGGTGGCTTCGAGCCTGCAGTCCCACTACAGGACTCCACTTACCTGTATCATTATTAAATACAGCAGCGGGCTAGTTCTGTGTTCCCATGACAGCCTCCCAGTGCTGACCAGTTCCAGTTCTGCCCCTCCGTCTGCTTGCTCCTCTCACCCTCGCCCTTCAACTGCTGCTCCTGCTTTTCCCTCATCGGCCCCTCTTCCTCCTCTTCCTTCTTATCAGATAACTTCTTATTTAGATCTGGACCCTGCTATCTAGACCCTCTATGGATTCTGACACACACAAACATCATCAGTTCAGCATAGGGCTTCTCAGATTTCTCCACCTCACCCCTAAAGCTGTAACTGCTTTCCCTTTGGCCCCCTTACCTGCCCCCTTTAGACTTGCCCATTGTCCTGTGCCTCAGTTTCTCACAATCACTGCTGTGGGCTTTATCTCGTTGTCAAGACCTGTGATCCCACTCTTAAGCTTTTTTGCATTTCCCTTCAGAATATTTCTCCTTTTCAAGGGAAAGCAGATTTTAACTGGACAGCTTTGGGTACTGAGGTCACCAATAAATAAAATGGCTTGTTGTTTCAATGATTCAGTGTCTTATTTGCTCCAGAGATAATCTTTCTGCTTCCTGTTTATATATATTTTGCACTATGTGAAATTAAATTTGTATGATGGCCACACAGCATGTCTTTATTATTATTATTATTAATCAGAAGACATTAAAGGAGGCCTCCTATTCACGAGCTTTTATCTTAGTTTGCAGTGTAACATTTTATTCTTTGGACTTAGATGATTGGGTCGTTTAAAAAGATAGCAAAGCTTCTGAAAATTGTTTTCATTACATTGTTTAAATAAGGAGAAACATCGTCTCTCCCCTTGTTGTTGTTGTGAAGTGTCATTGAATTGGACCTGACTCATAGCGACCATGTATAGGGTTTCCCAGGAGTGGCTGATGGGTTTGAATCACTGACCTTGTGGTTAGCAGTTCGGTGCTTATCCTACAGTGCCACACCAGGGCTCCATCTCTGCTTTATTGTTGTTAATTGCTGTGGAGTTGGAACTGACTCATAGCTAACCTGTGTAGGGCTTCCAAGGAGTGGCTGGTGGGTTTGAACCCCTAACTTTGCAGTTAACAGTCCAGTGCTTCTCCTGCAGGGCCACATGAGGACTCCATCTCTCCCTTAGGTCCTTTAAACATTCACTTCCAAAGTAAAACATGCAACGTGCAAGCGTCTTCTTCAACTCTAGAGTTGTCTCATGAAAACAAAGAAACTACCTGTTCCTTGAGCATCCTGAAGAGAGATGTTATAAAACGTCATTTGATTGTTTTCAAATCAAAGGAGACCTCAATCTCCATTGAAGTATGTGCAGCTCTGCAAAATACTAAGCAGATTAGTAGAGAAGCTTGCCAGATTATTTACTAATCTGTTTTCCTCATGTTCCCCAAAGTAAGCTTCATAAGGGATTGTGGCCTTGCAAAGATCTCTACTGTATCCTTACCATGATCCTCAAAATAATTGCATGATTAGTTATTATAACAAAACTCAAGAGTTTTTAGGATCTGTGCTTCTGAAATAAGTTACTGAAGAAAAATCCTTCACTGGAGTGTTTTTCAATACAAGAGAACGTGACATCTTTTGGGGATTTGGGGAACAGTGTTTCTTGGAGATGTGTAATGATCAAGTGATTCTTTCCAAGCTTTATTCTGAGTGTGTATCATCTTCATTAGATGGATGTCTAAGGGGATTTCATGAGTTAAAAGGAAGTGGTAACAATTCTGTAATAGGGAAACTCTAACTGCTTCTAAGGTATGTGTCCAAGATATGTAGGAACCATCTGTCCTTTCTGGTTGACTGAGAGTACCAGACTAAACAATATCCTTGTTGAAGTTCTAAACTTTTTTATGCTGTCCTCTCTCTACGATGGCATATGCAGGTGTTCACACAGCCCCGTTAACAGTTGCCTTGCAGCTTGACAAAGTAAACCTGGGGGTTTTGCCATTAAGAAGGAATGTTCAGGTATTATTTTTTTAAGGAGTAGCTTTATTTTGACATTTCAATTGAATCTAAATTATTTTTAAATGTCAGAGAAAAGTAGTGGAGATGCCTTTGTTATCTAGACCCAAGACCGCACCTGGGGGTCTGTGCTAATGGGTAGAGCTAGCCTGACCAGAAAAGCTCCCACATGATGGGTCACCTCAGCAGAGGGGAGGGATTGATCCAATTATTCATGACTGTATATTCAAGTCAGGAGCTCCAGTAGCATAGTGTTTACAAGTCAGGCTGCTAACTTCAAGATCAGCAGTTCGAAACTACCAGTCGTTCCTTGGGAGAAAGATGGGGCTTTCTGCTCCAGTAAAGATTTACCACCTTGGAAACCCTATACAGGGTTTACTATGAGTCTGACCCGACTCCACGGCTCATAACAACCACTATATATTGAAATCAGTAAAGGCTCTTGACTTAGAAGCTCCATGGCTTCCTGGTTGGTGAAAGGCAACAGTTTTCCTACAATAAAACTATAATCCTAAGTATAGCGTCTCCCATGAGTTCTGTGAGTCATCCCAGGAAACGATCAGACCCAAAGGGAACCAGTAGGTCAGAAGTGAGGTAGTCTAGGGGTTACTCCAGAGCCTATGGCTGGTGTTCTGAGGGGGCAGTGGGAAAAATTCCCTGAATCTGTGACCAGCGTCTACTTGTTTGAAAGTCTGAAGGATGCTGCTCTTTTAACTTGTGAGATCTGATGTAGCTCTGGGTGGCTAGAGTCAGAGAAATGTTGCATGGACAGTGGATGTCAGAAATGTGAGCATCTATATTATATCGTCAGAGCAGAGGATGGAACAGTGGGATTTCCACACAACCCTCAGCCTGAGCCCCCAGATAATGGAGTAGAACTGCCCCATAGGGGTCTTTTTTCCTGTAGAGTCACTGAGTGACTTTTTAGTTAGTCCTTGAGTGCTTGACTGTTGACAAGCAAGGCTTCTGTGAGAGTGGGTGGGTGGGGGAGGGTGAAACTATAGCTGCTGGAAAACAGTGTGGTGACTTAGAGGAAGCTTGCCTGAGAAGGAAACCAATGCAGATGAAAGTAGAGCTGAGTAATGGAGAGCCAAGGGTTGATTGCCTTTTTTAAGCCCCTCAAGCCCACCATATCAGTATCTTCACCCTAGACTTGCCACGTCTGTGGGCAAATAAATTCCCTTTTTTGCTTTTACTGCTTTGACTCGGAATTCTGACACTGACTAACTGAGTGAATAATTCCCTCTATAAACAAAGTATGGAGTCCTGGTGTGGTGTTGGGGGCTAATGCATCAGACTGCAAAGTTGTTCAAACTGCAAGGTTGGTGGTTCAAGCTCATCAGCTGCTCCTTGGAAACAGGGTCGCTATGGGTTGGAATTGACTCGACAGCACTTAAGAACAACAGCAACAACAACATAAAGTATAGTGGAAGAATGAATAGATGAGTGAACAAACTCAGTAGTAGCCCAGAGGATCCAGTGCATGTTACTGTGAACGTCTGATAGACAACAATGGTGGTGTTGGTGGTGATGTGCACGGAGTCGGTTCTGACTCATAGCGACCCTGCGTAGGGTGACTGAGGCTGTAAACCTTTACAGGAGCAGAAAGCCTCATCTTTCTCCCATGGAACGGTAGTTTCAAACTGCTAACCTCAATGCCTGCTTGTTTCTCAAGGCTTTAGATGCTAGAGTACAACGGAATACTTTGTATTTCAAGACTGAGCTCATATATTTAAGACACAAACATCTTATTCCTGCCCAGTTTGTTAGTAAAGTTGAATAACATGTGTCACCATCACCAAGGGAGCGAGAAGGTGTGCTGCCCTTCTGTAAAATGCTAAACAGTCTCGGAAGTTAGGGCACACACCAGGTTTTTCTCAGTGGGGCAAGTAGTGGTTCCCTGGTAGAGTTCTTACCTTTCATGCTGGAAACCTGGGCTTGCTTCCGGGCTCGTGTGCCTTGTGTAGCCACCACTTGTCTGTCAGTGGTGGCGGTGGTTATGTGCCATGGAGTCAGTTCCGACTCATAGCGACCCTGCATGGGGTTTCTGAGGCTATAAATCTTTATGGGAGCAGAAAGCCTCGTCTTTCTCCTGCAGAACCGCCTGTCTGTCAGTGGAAGATTGTATATTGCTATGAAGTCCTGGTGTGGTACTGTGGGACAAAGCACTGGACCACAAGGTCCGTTAGAATCACAAGCTTGGCAGTTCAAACTCACCAGCTGCTCCCTGAAACCCCTATACAGTGTGGCTACGAGTCTGACCCTACTCAACGACACTTAATAACAAACAAAAAATGAAGCTGAATAGGTTTCAGTGGGGCTTCTAGACCAAGGAAGAACGACTTGGTAACCTACATCCAAAATCAGTCGATGAAAACCCTATGGGTCACAATGGCCCCTTTTGTTCCATTGTGCATAGATAGGGTCACTGGGAATCAGGAGTTTAGTGACCAGCAGCTAACAGCCATAACAAATTTAACCCTTAGTGTTACTGCAGTGCTGTGTATTTGTGGTGAAAAATAGTAAAAAAAAAAAAATATTTTTTTTTGCTATTGTCAACAAAAAGGTAAAGAAAATTATAAGAAAAAATGTCTTTTTTTATTCTGAAAGTTGGTTCTTGAAGAAAATTGGGTTTCTGGTTGGGTGAGGAAGAGAAAGAAGACATAGACAGTGATTTTGAGAGGAGATTTCTGGGACTTTTCAGTGCTCTGGGGGTTGAAGGCAATGCTTTTCATTGTGTCCAATAAAACCCCAAATAGAACTTTCCTCTTCAGGTGCTCCTTCAGTTCCAGACACGAGGTGAGAAATGCTGCAGGCTGAAAACTAGAGTGAGGAACTTAGAAGGAGAGAGATTTTCCTGGGATAATTTGGAAAATATTGAGA